CAGTATTTGGACTTCTTCCAACTCGAGCAAAAATGACAAAAGTTCAACAACTCTTCATTTGTTGAAAATTTGAAGGAAATCAAAATCCTGATAATATGCACACCTTTAGTATATATAATACCTTCCATAATATAAAAGTTCCAGTTTTAAAACTGAAGGAGTTAGCCAGATAAACCATGCACCCCGCATACCTAATTTTACCCAAAAAATGTACAGTTTAACAACCTGTCATTTGTGGAAAATTTTAAGAAAATCAAAATCCTGATATACACCCGTTTTATATTTGTACCAACATAAACATTATATAAAAGTTCTAGCTTGAACACTGTGAGAGAGGAGTTAGCCAGACAAATCATGTACCCTGCATGACTATTATTATCAAACAAGAGTGCACACCCTGAAATGTCTCACCTGCTTTTCTGACCATTGATTTTATGTTGAAAGTCTTAAAGATAAAGGTTTTACTACATGTATTGCATAAACTAAACATTTTTAAAGATCCATGACAATGTGGTCAAGGTCAGATAAATCCTGTCAGACAGACATGTACACCTTACAATTATTCCATACACCAAATATAGTTGACCTATTAACTATATTGCTTATGGTAATTAAAAAACAGACCAATAAACAAAACCTTAACATTAACCAATGAACCATGAAAATGAGGTCAAGGTCAGATGATAGCTGCCAGACAGACATGTACACCTTCAATGACCTTACAATTATTCCATACACCAAATATAGCTTTCCTATTGCTTTTAATAATTGAAAAACAATAACAATGAGGTCAAGGTCAGATGATACTGGCTAGACCAACATGTACACCTTACAATCATTCCATACACCAAATATAGTTGACCCTTTTGCTAGTAGTATTTGAAAAACTGACCAAAACACAAAAAAATTAACATTGACCACGAACCATGAAAATGAGGTCAAGGTCAGATGAAACCTACCAGACTAACATGTACCCCTTACAATCAGTCCATACATATAGTATCTGAGAAACCGACCTAATCACGTAACTTTAACCTTGATCACTGATCCATGAAATGAGGTCGAGGTCAGTTGAACCCTGTCTGACAGATATGTAGACGTTGCAAGGAACCCATATATCAAACACAGTTATCCTGTTAATCATATTAAGTGAGAAATTCACATAAACTATAAATTAAAGGCCAAGTGAGTTTTTCTCATCACTTGGCGTCCCGTTGGTATCAGTTGTAGTCGTCGTCAGTTGTTAACTTTTACAAAAATCTTCTCCTCTGAAACTAATGGGCCAAATTTTATCAAACTTTGCCACAATCCCCATTAGGGTATCTAGTTTTAAAAATGTGTTTGATGAACCTGCCTGCTAACCAACATGGCCAACATGACTAAAAATAGAAGATAGGGGTAAAATGCGAGTTTGGTCTATTATCTTGAAAACCACTATGAATGGAGAAAATCTGTCAGTGGCAAAAATGATTAGAATGATGAGATCTACATATTGTCTATTTACTTCAAAACTGTCAAACGACTTCATATAGGTGTTATTGCCCTTAAATGACGAATTTTACTGATTTTTTCATATTTGCCCAATATCTGAAAAACTATTATAGATGGAGAGAAACTTATTTACCAAAAATGATCAACAAGACAAGATCTACAAATAAGTCAACATGGTCGAAATTGTCAGACGACTCCTTAACGGAGTTATTGCCCTTAATGACGATTTTTATCTATTTTTTTGCATTTTTGCTTAATATCTGAAAAACTATTATAGATAGATAGAAACTTAAATAAGCAAACGTGATCAGTAAGACAAGATCTACAAATAAAGTTGTTGATCAACTTCTTATTGAAGTTATTGCCCTCTAGTGACGATTTTTCCAAATTTTTCATTTTTCCTATTATCTTGAAAATTATAATAGATAAATAGAAACTTGAATAAGCAAAAGTGATGACCAAACAAGATCTACAAATAAGTTCATACGACCAAAGTTGTTGATCGACTTCTTATTGAAGTTATTGCCCTCTAGTGACAATTCTTCCCAATTTTTCATTTTTGCCTATTATCTTGGAAAATTATAATAGATAGAAACTTTTTAAAGCAGAAATGATCACTAAGACAAAATCTACAAATAAGCCATCATGGTTGAAACTTCAGTTTACTCTTTATTGGAGTTATCGCCCTTTAATGAAAATGTTTACCATTTTTTTGGTGTTTTTTGCCTATTATCTTGAAAACTATAATGCATAAAAAGAAACTTTAAAAAAGAAAAATGATCAGCAGGATCTATAAATAAGTCAAATAGCCTAAATCATCAGTGGACTCCTTATAGGAGTGCTTGCTCTTTAATGACGATTTTTACCAATTTTTAACATTTTTGGCTTCTATCTGGAAAACTTTTAAAGATAGATCTACAAACAAGTAAGATTTTGCTTGAAATTGTTGGTTTACTCTATAGTAGTGATTGCCCTAATTGATATTTTTTTAACTGTTTTTTTTTTTGTGTTTTGGGCAGAAATTAAAGAAAATAGAGAGTAACTGTAAACAGAAAAAAATATCAGCAATACATGATCAACAAAAAATTGGTTTTTATCATGAATTCTATTGTAGTCCACAATGTTGGAGAGCTTCCATTGTTGAAGATGCTCAGATCTAGGTGAGCAACACAGGCTCTTTAGAGCCTCTAGTTTTTGTCAATCCTGCGACTTTTGTCGCAGAAAGCTCGACATAGGGATAGTGATCCGGCAGCTGCGGCGGCGTTAACTAACTTCTTAAAAGCTTAACATTTCAGAAGGTAGAAGACCTGGATGCTTCATACTTTGTATATAAATGCCTTATGATATAAAGTTTCCGTCTGTCATATGTCCATTGTCCTTGACCTCATTTTCATGGTTCAGTGACTACTTGAAAAAAAAAGTCAGATTTTCTGTAATGTTAATTTCTCTCTTATTATGAGTAATAGGATAACTATATTTAATTTGTGCGTACCTTGCAAGGTCCTCATGCCTGTCAGATAGTTTTCACTTGACCTCGACCTCATTTCACGGATCAGTGAGCAAGGTTAAGTTTTTGTGGTCAAGTCCATATCTCAGATACTAAAAGCAATAGGTCTACTATATTTGGTGTATGTAATGATTGTAAGGTGTACATGTCCAACTGGCAGGTGTCATCTGACCTTGACCTCATTTTCATGGTTCAGTGGTAATAGTTTAGTTTTTGTGTTTTGGTCTGTTTTTCTAATACTGTATGCAATAGGTTAACTATATTTGGTGTGTGGAAATATTTTACAATGTACATTATAGTCTGGTAGGTTTTATTTGACCTTGACCTCATTTTCACGGTTCATTGCTCAATGTTAAGTTTTTGTGTTTTGGTCTGTTTTTCTAGTACTGTATGCCAAAGATCAACTATATTTGGTGTATGGAAATATTTTACGATGTGCATGTCAGTCTGGCAGGTTTTATTTGACCTTGACCTCTTTTTCATGGTTCATTGCTTATGTTAAGTTTTTGTGTTTTGGTCTGTTTTTCTTACAACTTTAAGCAATAGGTCAACTATATTTGGTGTATGGAATGATTGTACGGTGTATATGTCTGTCTGGCAGGTATCATCTGACCTACACCTCATTATCATGGTTCATTGGTCAATGTTCAGTTTTCCTAGTTAACTTTGTTTCTTAGATACTTTAAGCAATAGGTCAACTATATTTGATGCATGGAATGATTTTAAGGTGTACATGTCTGTCTGGCAGGGTTCATCTGACCTTGACTTCATTTTCATGGTTCATTGGTCTATATATAATTTCCATGGTTTGGTCTGTTTCTTTTATACTCTAAGCAATAGGTCACCTATATTCTGTGTATGAAATGATTGTATTTAAGGTGTATATGTATTTCCTGCTTGGTTTATCTGACCTTGACCTCATTTTCTTGGATCATAAATGTTAATGTGATACTTGTAGTAAAACTTTATATGTAGGACTATCAACATAAAATCAATGGTCAGTATAGTAGGCGAGACATTTCAGTGTGTGCACTTGTTCAAGTAGTCGCTGAACCATGAAAATGAGGTAACCAAGGACAATGGACATACGACAGACATAAACATCGAAACATAAGGTATCTGCATACAAGGTATGAAGCATCCAGGTCTTTTACCATCTGAAATATAAAGCTTTATACAAATAGTTTATGCAGACACCTCCGCTGCCCGATTTTAATCCCTGTCTTGCATACTTCAACTTTCATTGCAGGCGAAACAAAACTGACAAGTTCAATAACCTGCAATTTGCGTAAAAATTTGAAGAAAATCAGAACACTGATGATATGCACACTTTTAGTATGTGTAGTAACAACCTACATAATATAATACTTCTAGTTTGAAAATTCTAGGAGTTAGCTGGACAAGTCATATACCTTATGTGGGACTGACGGACAGACGAGTAAACCAATATGCCCTACATTTTATAAAGTTGGCATAAAAATTCTTTTCATGAATGAAGCCACATAGTTTGAGAAAAGCTGAAAATGTTATTTCATGTTTTCTATCCCATCAGAACCAAATTATATCATTTTTCCTGCTAACTTTGGTTTAATTGGCCTCACAGTTTCATAGTAGATCATGAAATTGTGATTTTCAGTTGAGCTTCATGGGGAATTATGTACCATCAATGCCACTATATTTACCCCTGTATCTTTATTAAATGAGGACATTGATTCATGTTAATGAGGGTTTAAAACATTTCAACTAGGAGTTTCGGAAGAGGAAATCTTCAACCAATAAGAATCAAATATTGTTTTTGTCTGCCATGTATGTATGTATGAATGTATGTATGAAGATCCCTCTGTGAACAGAGCACCCCTAGAAATTATCCATCTATCTCAAGCCAAATAAAGATTATATGTGGAGCAGCTTCCATAAATCAATCATGCAATGTTTGGTTTAAATTGGCACGGTATTTTTTTCAACCACAATCCTAGACAGTTCATAAATTAAACAAGTCTGATTTAGAAAAGATAACAATTTATTCTTTTTCAAACAAAATATACAACATAACTATGTACAGTATCAGTCTTAACAAATCTTTAACAAATAAATAGACACAAACTATCATTAAAGTTTATCGTACATGCTTAAAGTCCTTCTCCAGGGATAATGTTATTTTAAAAAAAATCCAAACTTACGTAACCTGAAAGAAAGAGTTAATTACAATATTTAATTTTATTGACAATGTTCAGTAAGCATTAATGGTAAACATCTTACAATAAGCATTTATGATAAACTATCAATTTCCAAGTGAATTATCTAGTCACACAAAATCAATCTTCTCTTACAACCTTTAGTATTCCATTTAAACATGTTTGCTTTGCAAACAAATAAATTGACAGGAATACATACTTTCTGTGTTACTGGAAAATTCAACAGGAGAAGTCTATATATAAATAGAAAGGCAGCTTCACATAGCACTACCAAATATCATGCCATTTTGTTATAAATAAATAGATAAATTAAATTACTAAACAGAAGAAACACATAAAAATCACCTAAGTAAAGGGCTTTCTTGCAACATAACATTTAAATTACAAAAAACATACAGAGAAAAGTTTGTAGTACCTATGTATAGAGAATAAAACCAGGCAAAAAATGTTTCATATGCTTTAACAACTTCGATTGCCTGATGGACTAATATTAATGGCGTGTTGATACAGCAGGTTATCCAGGTATCACTATGGATTTTTCATTGATATATATATATATATATGTTTTTAAAAAAATAAGGTTTTCCCCAACTTAAGTCAATAATTTAGTTTTAAAAGTTTAATATATAAAGATTTGTTAAATATTTGCATGCTTCCTGAATTAGACTACTGTAACTTCTTTGCTTAGAAAACTTTTTAATCTTTTGGACAATATTGCCTACTGAGGAAAATTACTATTGTTTTTTGGTGTATAAGGTGATTTTACTATTTTATAAATGGCTTTGCTGTAATGACTATAAAAGCTGTAGCATTAGTTCTTACAATAATACAGTGGAACCTGCATGTCCAAAACTATGAAAAGTAAAGGAATTTAGTGTCCTTTAAAATTTCGATTTTTTTCAATGTTTTTAAACTTGGATGAGTCTAACTGGGTAGATTCCAAATCTCTGTAACCTTAAGTACATTTCGAAGTCCCCATAAAATAAATTGAACATAAAATAGCACTGATCTGCTGATGTTCAAAGTACAAGAAAATTTAGAAGGAAAAGAAAATATAATAGTTTTGAAATATTGAGCCCAATATTAAAATTGTATGTTTTTATTGTATTTCAATTTAATCCATGCAAATCAGTTTGTATGAATTGCAATCAGAATGGCATAATTATAGTACCTTTTGATGTCAGATTGATCAATTAGAAAATTGTGTAACACATTTTATAAAAGATAATTAAAAAGAAATTTGAAAACCCAAGCCAACATGAATTCCCTAGCCTGCAGCCGTATTGCAAAAATTTTGGAAACGGAATCTGAAATGAATTGAAATGAAAACTTGATCTGTAAGTCATCAGTATATACTAATGTACCAAAAAAATAGCTAGAGATCTACATGCAATGCAAAAATAGTTTAGACAAGATAATTTTCTTAAGTCACTTTTTGAACCATTTTTTTTTCATATAATCAATGCAAATGGATTGCAACATAAAGCATTTTCCAACAATAACATACAAGGTTGTTAATACATGGTAAACAAAAATTGAAACAGGAAAAATATGTTTGTAGCAGCTAGAATGACACAAATCTCAGATAAATTCAAATAGCTAGGACAGGTCCCTTCCACATTTCAAGGTTTTACTGTAATTTTAGTATATAAAAAAAACTGCAAACTTTTGTTAAAAAAGATTTTCTCACTAAATCACAATATATTGCAAGTACTAAATATATTACATATAATATATGTTGGAGCAAGGTGGGAATCTTAAATGATGAAAAAAATGAACAAGAGATGATTACAATATAAAAATATGCTTTAAAATGCCATAGAATTTCCTGCAAGTGAGTTCATATTTTCTAATTCTGTCCTCTATATCTTTATGAAGACCTTCAGTTATTGTGCATTTCCATATACAAATACTCAAATATTGATAACCAACATCTACTACAACAGAGATATGTCATCACTGTTATGGCACAAAGGGATATACGAAAAATAGTTACATATTGTTCATAAAAATATACAAAATGGGTGTCAGAAAAAATATTGGATGGAAAACAGAGAAGACTAGTGCAATGTACAATACTGAACTGAACACAACTAAATTTGATGAAGAAGACAAAGTCAAAACTGACATTATCATTGATAGTTTTCCGTTTGTGTACCATCTTTATACTATCATTGCAAAGTTTGTATAATGATTTAACACAACTGTTCTATTGTTCTATATAATTTTACTCAATGATTGTAAAGTGAGTCATAATTTGAAAATTATAAGCGATTCATGCGCTTTAACAGAGTTTATAGTGACGACAGTCAAATCGTTCATTTTTGGTTCTAAAAGCTGAATTAGTTCTAACAGAATGAACTGGTCAGATAGAGGAAACTTGCCAAATTTTCTTGTATCAGTCAAAATTTGTTCCGTTTAGAATCGAATCCCACAACACTTTTGCAATTGATTTTTATTTCATGTGCATTTATAAAGAATCAAAATAGAAAACAGTCAAATTTACATCAGACATAAATTAAACAATATAGTGTATATCTAGATCTGTAGTGACAATGTCTTGTTCATCTATATGAGATTCTACACAGCCCTACCTGATACATGAACAAGCATGATCCCTGAAGAAACGATTGTATATATTCATTTGATAAATGGCAGGAATGGAAATATAGCAATAATCCTTTAAAAACAATATACTGTTCTAAAAGACATTCATCTAAAACATTATCGATGCTGGTCAGAAACTTCAAAGACTGATTTAGAGACACTTATAAAAAATTAAAATTCCTTAACTTTGAAATGCACCGAGAACAATTGTATCCATACTTATTCTGAATACTTTATTTCATTCTCAAAAAAAAAAAAAACAAATCTGAAAACACCATTTTTTTGGTACAACTGATTTTATTTAAACTTTTAACTTCAATCTTTTATATTTGAATTTAGTGCATAAGTGATAATGTCTGTATCCAGGAATGCATATTGTAAAAAAAAAAGTATGTCAAAAGTAAACTAATACAGCATGTGTACACACCATAAATGATAAAAAGTTTGGTATAAGATTTGGAAGAGATAATGTCATTGCTATCTAGTTAAACTTGATAGCTGCATGAAAGGAATTTTTCACCTAAATCTACATCATACATGTATACTGTTAGGATAAGCCTTAAATATGACAGCTGAAACTTTGTTAAAATAGGTGCAATTATAAAGTTCACCTCCAGATCAAAATAAATCATTTATATCTACTGCTGTGAAGTGTGTAAAAAAAAATTAAGCTTATTTTAAGCAAACAAGATTTTCAGCTTGATGAAATAAAACATCACCCTTTCACAGAGATGTCAGCAATACAAAGAGATAATGAGTTTATAATATAGAAAAAAAAACCCACTTTTATTTATAATACAGAACAAATATTTCACATGTACATTTATGTTTGTTTTTTGACTAACAGCATAGATCAAACATATCACTAGTATAAAGAGATGTATATAAAATATTTAACATAAGTGGACGGTTACAACGAGACACATTTGACTGACCTATTTAATAACTTGTATGTCAAAATATTAATGATTTACAGCCATGATTGATTATGTGCACACTAAAATGTTAAATAATAACAAATATTCACATTTTTATTCATATTTCAATTATATCATTTGATGGCAAATATCTATATATTCTTCAACAATATAAGGAAAACACTTATTTTATTAAAGCAGATTTGTAAAAATATTATTGCAATAAATAATGTTTTATAAAGAAATAATGAAGCTTTCTTTACTACTGTGAACTTCTAAAATGATCTTGTGTACTTAAATAAATTATAAACACTTGAAATGTTCTATTTTCTTCAACTTTTTAATTCAATATTTTCAAACTAAAAACTAGTCCTTTTTACACATGTATATGTACTTAAAATAATTTCTTATATGTGAACAAATGGAAAATTTGGGATAAAATACAATCAATAAGCACTATCTATGCTACTATTTATACTTCTATTTAAAAGGAGAATAAAATTATAATAAACTCCATCTTTAGATTCTTATCAAAATACACCTGAGGTTTAACAAAAGCACTTGATGGAAAAATTTGTCACATGTAACTTAAATTCATGGTTGTAGTTTTGACCAAAACAAATCCTCCTAGTTGATTTTCTTGGTGAAACAAAAATCATTAATACAATTCCTACTTATGATTTATAATTTTTTTTTAAATGGAGAATTGAATGTTGAACCAGGAATTGAGCACTGATTTCATTGGCTAACAGAGGTAGACGTCTGGGTGCTCTGTGTTCCCTGAGATTTAATTGTAACTTCTGGTGTATACATCTTGCGTAATGGACAAAATGCTGAATCAACACTTGGCTTTAAAATAAATTGTGATGGCTTGATTGGACAATACAACAATGGTTCTTTAATGATCGGATGACTTTTCCTGAAAATAAATATGATATTTTTTGTTAGAAGACTTTTATATACATTAATAAGCTGTCAATACATATGTTTTGGCATTGTTCAAGGTCATGCTTTTCTCAGACTGTTTATTACGTCTTTTAACTATTATGTTGGATGTGTACTAATGGAAATTTTAGTCTGGGAAAACATGATTTATCTATTCTGTAATTGGCTTTGAACTACCTTTCAGTAACTATGAGTACTCTTAGATCAGTACTTTTTGTATTTTGTCTTTTTGTGCTTTGTGATAAGCTGATGAGTTAAGCCCTTTCCAACTGATTTTTACAGTTTGTTCTTATGTTGTGCCATTACACCACAGTCCCAGGTAAGGGATAAGAACTCGTAAACATGTTTAGCACCGCAACAGTCTGGCTAGTCTGTCCCAAGTCAGAAGCTTGCAATTTAGTGAAAGATGTTGGTTGCTGTCGGTCATATTTTTTTTTTTTTCCAAAATCAGGCTGTTAGACAATCAGGATCTAGATTGTCCCTGGCAGCCATGTTTGTTTTACATAAAAATACAGACAAAGATCTTTGGTTTATAAAATAATGCAGACTACACATAATGTCACTTTTGAATTATCCCTGGATTATGGTTTATTTTAATTATAATGTATCTTGTTTATACTAGGTATCCAAATACATGGTGTCAGAATCAATATTTACAAAGTTATGAGGTAATGTAACAGAATAGGGTATAAAAAACTAAAAGAATTGTATATATTGTATTCAATGCCTAATGTCATGACGATCAAGGGAATGATCCACAAGGAAAATGATGTAAATTACATTTAGAATAGTTTTGTCTCATCATGATTCAGAAAAAATACTGTTTTTTAGACTATAGAAGTGCTTTATGATAGGGTGGGGATTAAGCCTTGGGTATGGGGTATATTGCATTTAATGCATATAATCATAAGGGATAAGAAAAGTTTTTTGGTTTGGGAATTTAAACATTGAAAGTCAAAGAAATGTACAAACCGAAAGGATAGACTAGAAACAATAACATTAGAACTTATGACTTCTGAAGCGAAAAAAGAAAAACCCAACACATTTTGAAATCTGAATTAATGGTACCATTTCATATTGGTCTTAAATTTTACACTGCAGCCATTGACTTCAAATTGGAATTTTACAATTTTTTGAAGTAAGACATGCTTCCTGAAATTATATTATTTAACAACAAAACAAGAAAATCCTTTAAATTGATATCAAGTTAACTTCAATGTAAAACTAGCTGCAAGAGAAAGTTTAAGACTATATTTAGTTTTGCTGATGTTCCACAAGATCAGAGAAGAAAACACTGTTAATGCAGGATACTTACGTATCTTCATCAATAACTTTGACCTTTTCACAGCCATCTGGTGGTTCTCTTACAAACAAGTAGGAATTATTTGGTCCTGGACTAGATATTTTCTTTTGTAAACTATCTGGAGATTCACATCCTTCCACTGAGTAAAAAATTATAGAAGACAAACATTCAAATGTTTTACATACAGATATATAATATGACTTGACTGCTATCCACTAGTAAATCAAAGTCATTAACTCAGTGGATGCTCTATTATCAATTATACAAATATTAGAGGAAATATCATTAACCAATGTCAGATTCACATGATGAGTAAAATAACACTGAATAATACAATGGCAAGATTTAAGTGGCAACTTCTTCCTGAAAATGAGATATTAAAATGCTAATAAGATAGCAGTTCAAATATCACTTATTCATATTACCTCTTAAGAAATACACACCATATAAGTCTAGATAAAAGATATGTCAGAAACAGCCATGCTTGGAAATACATTTTAAAGGCAAGAACAATTATAAACATTATACATATCAATGTCTGATCATCTAAACACATATACACACATATCAGAAACAGCTTTCAGACATGGTAAACATTTCAATCACTGGAGCATTTTTTTAACTTGTACTTGAGCTCTTTTTCTTCATGCAGTTTTCAATGAACAGAAACAAATACAACTGTATACAAAAAAAATGGTCATTGACATGCACTTTTGATGACATGAACTTGGAGTGATGATAAGAACCCTTATATCTTGCCTCTTTGGACAACCAAGATAATCAATTAATATGAAGAAAACTATATTTTTGCAATAATTACCTTTTTCCATTTCTCTTGGTGAATATTCACTGGATGGGCGCCTAGGTGAAGAATCACTAGATGGACGCCTTGGTGAAGATTCACTAGATGGACGGGATGAATCCATATGACCTGGAATTATTGGAATGGCTGGACTAACTGAATGAGATCTACTACCAGAACTGTTGTCGCTGAGATTTCCTGTTCCTGGTGTCTGGGTATCTATACTTCTGGTACTACTACCTCTGTTTACAAGTTCAGGACAGGGAGCTTTATGTCCATCAGGAATATCATATGCAAACTGTGACTGTATAAATTACAAAAATAAATGTTTAAAAGTACTTTTTTTGTCATTGAACCAAGTAATATATGCTGGCAGTATTATTATTATGTTTTTAAGCATATGTGTCCTGAAAATGAATTAAAACATTTATCACTGGAACTTAATATGTAAAAAGTCAATCAATCAAAATCAGACCAAAATAAATATATTCAAAAATTATATGCAGACATTATATATAATTATATAGTAATTTGTTTAGTAATATGGTATACTCATGTAAAGCCCCCATTTTAAGCAGTGCGAAAAATATAATGGTTTTTGGTTTGCTGGACTTCTATTTTAGTTGCATGTCATGTTAAATTTTTTTTTTCTTTATTCTTAGTATGATCTTTTAGATCAATAGTGAGTAAGGACGGTAATACTTTGTTCTGTAATTATGTATTTCTTTTTACATTACTTGTGAATTTCCAATTTGTATGTATTCTCCAGGTTACTTATGTTTTTAATACACATATTTTTCCTCCTTCTTTATCAAAAAATTTTATGGATCATGCTGTTTTCATCAGAAATATTGAGAACATAGTACCATATGAAGGAAAGTTTGTATACCATGCCTAAATGACAAAATTATAAGGCAAATTATAAACATGTTTAATTCCTTCAATTTATAATTGATATATACACTTTCAACCAAAATTCAAGTAACATCTGGCAAACAACAAATGAGTGTAAAATGATATGAAAAAAATGTATGTGAGTAAAACATGTGCATGTGAAACTCAAACAAACCTTCACCACATTTCTGCTAATGAATGAAATATTTGTGTTTACAGCTTTTGAAGTGACAAGAAATCAATGAAGAATTGAATGAGCAAGGAAATATTTGGAATATCAATATTCTATACTGCTGTAAACACAATCGGTGGATTGATGATGCAGATGATTCGTGATGATGATTTGCCTACCAGTATAGATATCAATGTATCAGGGGAGCATACCCTGTCCAATTCTTCTTCTCTGTTGTGTAGTACTAGCTTCTCTATCTCCTGTAAAACATTTAATATGTGTCACAAACATTTTTAAAGACCCTTAGCTTGCTAATTTTGTTTTAATTTGTTTTTTCTTCATTTATTGCAAATGCCCATGTTTTGGTATGGGAAATTCCATTCATAGTTCAGATCAACAGTTGAAGCTAAGTGCAAGCACTGAAGGGTAAAGATTGCATCCATTTTGCAGAGGGAAATCAAAATAAAACATTGCATTTTATTAAGCATTGGAAGGCAATTGGAGATATCTTGCTTTGTCCATAGATGTAGTTGGTTCATATGAGGATACACTTTTATTCCAATTTTAAATGACATCATTGATATTTATAGAACAAATACTAGATTCATGCACCATGTACATTGTACAGTTAATGTTATTTTCTGGACAATTATGGTACATGTAATACATATACACATCATTTTGTAACTTGAATATCTAAGTATATATTTCACTGATATATTTCTTGAAATGTTCATTGATAGGACATACAGACTATTGTGTTCAATGCACTACATTTTTATCTCAAAAGTAACCATAATGAACTTGATCTGAATGTTGTGGTAATAAGCATTGTGTATCAGTTTCATAACATTTGGTTGAGGCAAACTGAAGTTAGAGAACAGAAACATAGAATTCAGCAATTTTTCCATTTGTAAAGGGGTACAACTCTAAACGGTAAAAATGACGCCACCCAAATTCAATCTTTATCTGTGTGTTGTAATTAACATTATTTATAGTTTCATTACATTTGATTGAGGCAAACTAAAGTTAGGGAACAGAAACTTATTTTGGGACATACGGATGGAGACATATAAGTATTGACAGGATGTAGAATACAGCCACTTAAGGGTTTTGATTGCATGAATGCAAACTTTACCCCAAAAAGTAGGTGCACAACACCATCTCCTGTTGATGAATCTGTGCATGTTTAGTTGAATTCTGTTAAGCCATTTTCAAGGAACTGCATATTAACATGAGGTGAAATGCAGATGACAACAATACAAGTCAAAAGAACTGATCCCAATAGATCACTAGCTTGCTGTCGGGTGACACAAGTAATCAATTACCTGTTATTGGTTCAACATTTTTAAGTCTGATAGAAAAACTAATCTGATGTATTTCATTCAATGTTTACATATAAACTTACTGTATTCAATCCCTCTACACTGTTACGTTGATATCTAGACAGATTACTAGACTTAGGAATGTGATTAGGAATGCCCTGTGGTTTAGATGCCCTCTGTAAGCCCTGCAAGGCAGCTGGAGCTGTTGAAGATAATGCCTGATGATTACCTGGGACTGGACTTTGTTTACCGTTCTGTCTACTCCCTTCTTTAGTCTTCTGTAATCTATGCTTTATATACTGTAAAGAAACAAGCATTCTGTTAGTATTGCCTGGCAAAACATAGTCCCCTACCGGTTAAAAATTCATTGTACTGGAACAAAATGCTAACTTGATCTATAACTTGTCATGGTGTAAGCTATAAACAAATATCAAGTCAACTTCTTCAAGCATGACAAGAAAAAATGTGGAAAATTGATTGAGTGAATTTTCTAAGTCCAAGGACCATAACTCTGCACAAAATCATCAGACCAGAACAAAATTCAAACTTTCTCTGTAACTTGTCATGATAAAACTATATACCAATCATCAAATCAATATCTTTAAGCATGACAAAAAAAAGTGCGGAAAACTGATTATTTGAGTGAATTTTCTAAGTTCAAGGACCATAACTCTGCACAAAATCATCAGACCAAAACAAAATTCGAACTCGATCTGTAACTTGTCATGATTAAACAATACACCAAATATCAAATCAATATCTTCAAGCACGAAGAAAAAAAGTGTGGAAAACTGATTTGCAGATGGACGGACGGACAGACGGACAGACAGACAGACAGACAGACTGACAAATGGAGTGCAAACCTAAAGTCCCCTTCGGTAGGGGACTAATTAGAATACATAAACGATAACAATATCACTGGTACTATACCATATATACATTTATACAAAATAAAAGAATTTAAATTAGTTGGAATCTCCCACTGATGTGATATACTACATTATTCAGAGGTACATATGTAATAAAATAGGTCTTGACTGACTTACATACATGTCAGTCAAATAATGGTTTGGTCAATCTGAATCGGGCCTTCAAACATGTCCGACCAAATGTCTGGTAGAAATTATCACAAAACTTCCAATAATTATATAATAATAGTCTGTGCCAAATTGCATTGTCTGAGATTCTGGTTCTGTCTGGCAGTAGGTCCTGCAGGTTTTTGTCTGACTGCACAGAATTTTGTGAGACAAACAGGATAATATCTATGGCTAGTTTCTCGTTTTTTATATAGATTAGACCGTTAGTTTTCCTGTTTGAATTATTTACACTAGTCATTTTGGGGCCCTTTATAGCTTGCTGTTCTGTGTAAGCCAAGGCTCCGTGTTGAAGGCCGTACTTTGACCTATAATTGTTAACTTTTTACACATTGTGACTTGAATGGAGTGTTGTCTCATTGGCACTCACACCACATCTTATTTCTATATAAAAGATATTGCAGAGAAAGTTACCTTCCACCTCAGAGACAGGTTCTCAAAAAGGACTTGTGATTCATATCAGTTTGGATGTCTACAGCATTTGTTCAAACATATGTTTATCTGTATTTAACAGCTTTAATAACCAAGATATTACTTAAAAGAACTTTATAAATCATTATTTACTTGTTATTTATTTAATGACTTTTTCTGCAAGTGTAGTTTTGACCAAGATTCGAAGAGAAATGTTAAAACCATGAAAACCAGAATGCCTGTAAAAATCAGTGTTCTTAGATTGGATTATTCCATTTAATGTATGGGTCCAGAAAAATTTGCCTGCAAATAGCTTTTGGTTGAAGCTCATCCAGGTTTTGGTCACAATGCAAAATATTTGTTAAAATATAAGCAATTTACAATTGTTAGGCCAATTGAGGTATTATTTATTGAATTGAAAAGGATTAAAAAAAATATAAGCCGTGTTATCAGACGTTTTGCTAGAAATTGTGTATGAAAGCCAAATAGTCTGTCCGAAACAGTCAGACCAATTGTCATGACTTGAATTTTGACTACAATTCTATAGATAAATAACTATGGAACAACATAGTTGCATACCCTGAGTTGCAATCTTCATGGGTTTGTAGTATAAGTAACACATTATAATGTTGAGTACAATGAAGACTGTCATGACTGTTAAGACTGCTTAAATTTAAGTCTATCATTGCTGCTGTATCCTTCAACCTCAGAATCTATATGAAAATTGTAGGAGTCTTTTCACTCTAAAGTGCATTATTCACAAAAGACAGGTAAAGATATGATTTATGGCTCAAAAGATATTTACTTGAACCAAAACTTTTCCCTAATTTCAACATTTTGATTAAAGGGATGCGATTTCTTCACCCTAGTCACCCAGTAGCATGAGCCCTGGATCCCATCACTTACATGTAATGGAAAAAATGTACTAATTCTGATAATGTCTTAGGCATAAAAATATATTTGTGTTGCCGATAACATGCTTAAAAAAAAAGAGTGGAAGGTTGGCCAATAATCTTATTTTTCAAAAAGTTTGAACTGGTTTAAAGAGGGAAAACAGTTAAGGGTATAATAGTGCTTGTTCAAAAATGTCCCAAAAATCTTCAGGGTAGGAGCTTAAAATAAGGGTATGTAGGGTTAGCGGAAACACAGGTATTTTTTTAAGCCTTTATTGTAAACAATATGTTTCTTGTGAACATGTTCTAAAAATATTTACATGAATATTTTTAGCATTGGCAACATGATCTCCTTGCCCAAATGATGCGGATCGTCCATGGCTTTTCTTTTTCTTTTTTGTTTTCTGTTGATTGTTTATTTCCCAATCATCTGGGGTCTGTGAAAAAAAAACAATTGACTTGTTATATTTCTTAATATATATATGTGTCAAAAAATAAGTTACATTAGAGATCTTGTCAAATCCCTGAAATTTCAAGAGTTTTCATCCAATATTTGTGATGTATAATCAGTTATATAATCAACAGTTTTTATTCTCAAAAATTAAAATTACAAGCAGCTGGGGCAGGGGTGCACATTAAACAGTATTTATTCAATCATGAAAAAGACAGCCATCATGGTCATTGTAGATATGTGTTGTCATTTAGTCCTGGAAAACAGATAATGTATTCAAATTATATCATTATGATCCCTACTAATTATATAAGAGCCAACTTGAAATTTGTTTTATTGAAAGACAAGCATTTCTTCTAACAAATAAGATAAGCATTTTTTAATATATTGTTAGGCCTTTATACAATGTAAAATAATTGTCTGATTATTTGTTAGGGCATATTTCTGAAAGTTCAATAAAACGCAAAAAATTCTATTAAACATCTCAAAATATTTTAAGAAAGGGCAAACTAGAAAATTTCATAGGTCGAAGACTAATAGCCCTAGACAACATTAAGGGTTTTTGACAGAAATTTTAATGTGGGTATCAGTGAACAGTGTACAACTTTTTTTTCTAATAAATTTTCATAAACAAGATAATTAAGTTTATTTTAAAAATGTGTGAATAAAAAATCAAATAAATTTACCGTTAACAAGTACACTTAAAGTTGTAAAAGCTGAAGAAGCATAAGTTGTAAAAACTGATATAGCACAAGGTTTTTGTGTTATCAAAACACACCTACTTTATTGTAAGATATCACTTGACCCATATGTTTGCTTTCTAGTAATGTGAATTCTATTCTGTAATGTATCTCTCACCTGGTAAACAAAATTGCCAGTTTGCTTATTAGAACTTTTTTATGCACATGATATATAATATATATATATATATATATATATATATATATATATATACAGTGTTCCAGCTTGAATCTCAGGGCAGAAGGGTGCTAGTTGTTTGAAAGGGCACTTTAGCGTAATAACCATGATTGTAAGGGCACTGTTGGACAGTGTATAAATTACCTTGAATATTGCTAGGCTCAGCTGGAGAACATTAGTTGTATTTAAACCATGTTCAGAAATTAATGTGTTCTTGATGTTGGTTCCAGTAAGAATTTTTTTATCAGATTATCATACCATGAAGCAAAGCATATCATTTTGATGTTAATCTAAACAAACTTGTACATTTGGTAAGGAAAATAATCATCAGAAATTTCAATCTTTAACAACTTATACCAGTCTATAAAAATAAACAAGTAGTTTTGAAAGATGGAGTTATACATGCAAAATTGAATGTTTAATCTAATTAAATTATCGACATTTAAATTGCTTGATCAGTCATATAGTATATTGTTATTAATAAAGTTATTTATTATCATTTCAATTGTTACAAAAAAGTATTTTTAAGTGCACACCAAAGTGCTCCTAAGTAAGGAGTTTTATAAATATAACAGGTGAGACAGGAGATGATCATATTATATTGCATATATTGCAGAAGGTATAAACAGTTACTTTTTTCTCCATCATTGTTAAAAATAAAAGCATTTGTTGAGTGCTCCTATAAAAGGATTATAAAATACCAGAAGTAAAACAGGAAGTGGTGCAATCTTGTTATGTTCAAAGTACAAATTTCTTTGATTCTTCTTTAAATTTCATACTCATTGTTATGAAACAAAACATTTTTACCAATTTAGTCAAAACTGTGTTTGCCTTTAAAATTGTTTTAGATTTTATTTTTTATATTATGCCTACTGAAATAAATTTTTTCAGGTGTACATGCTGTACATAAACATTACAAATGGATAACATGTGGACATTTAATTCTGTATTAAATATCTAGTATTTGTTCAATTATCTTAAATCCACTAATTAGCAGTAAACAATCATTAACAAAGGTGATAAAACTGCCAAAGGCATTAGGTATTTAACTTAATCCCATTGTCAGTTAATTAGTGTTACCAATTTGGTAACAATTTTACCGGAAATGATAGGTATGAAATTTGGAAATTTTATTTTTTTGAAAAGGCAGAGGGGCGGGCCCTCCTTCTATTTAGGGCAGGCGGGAACACTGACATATATATATATATATACAAGTCTAAATTGAAAACAATGTTCATACCTATATATATATATAAATATAGTTACTCTTTGTCTTGCTGATAATTTTTGCAATTCAAATGTTCAACTTAGTTAGTTCCTAATTATTTTTATAGAGCCATAACTGTTAAAAACAGTAACTAGAGGCTCTAAAGAGCCGGTGTCGCTCACCTTGGTCTATGTGCATATTAAACAAAGGACACAGATGGATTCATGACAAAATTGTGTTTTGGTGATGGTGATGTGTTTGTAGATCTTACTTTACTGAACATTCTTGCTCCTTACTATTATCTCTATCTATAATGAACTTGACCCAGTAGTTACAGTGGAAAATATTTTGTAAAAATTTACAAAAATTTACAAAATTTATGAAAATTGTAAAAAATTGACTATAAAGGGCAATAACTCCTTAAGGGGTCAATTGACAATTTTGGTCATGTTGACTTATTTGTAGATCTTACTTTGCTGTACATTATTGCTGTTTACAGTTTATCTCTATCTATAATAATATTCAAGATAATAACCAAAAGCTGCAAAATTTTCTTAAAATTACCAATTCAGGGGCAGCAACCCAACAATGTGTTGCCTGATTGGTCTGAATATTTCAGGGCAGATAGATCTTAACCTAATGATCAATTAATCTCTCGTCAGATTTGCTCTAAATGCTTTGGTTTCAGAGATATGAGCCAAAAACTGCATTTTACCCTATGAACTATTTTGACTTATTTGTAGATCTTACTTTGCTGAACATTATTGCTGTTTACACTTTATCTCTATCTATAATAATATTCAAGATAATAACCAACTAGAGGCTCTCAAGAGCCTGTGTCGCTCACCTGTATTTACTGATGCTTTGGAAATCATGTAAAATAAGGTTAAAATCATAATTAATAGTATTAGATATTATAATGATATCTAAGATAACAAAAAAAAACTGTAAAATTTCTGTAAAATTACTAACTCAGGGGCAGCAACCCAACAACGGGTTGTCGGATTCGTCTGAAAATTTCAGGGCAGATAAATCTAAATCTGATGAACATTTTTGCCACCTGTCAGATTTGCTCTAAATGCTTTAGTTTCAGAGATATAAACCAAAAACTGCATTTTACCCCTATGTTCTATTTTTAACCAAGTCGGCCGTGATGGTTGGAAGGCAGGGTCATCGGACAAACTTTTTAAACTAGATACCCTAATAATGATTATGGCCAAGTATGGTTAAATTTGTCTCAGTAGTTTCAGAGAAAGAAGATTTTTGTAAAAGATTACAAAAATTTACGAAAAATTGTTAAAAATTGACTATAAAGGGCAATAACTCCTAAAGGGGTCGACTGACAATTTTGGTCATGACGACTTATTTGTAGATCTTACTTTGCTGAACATTATTGCTGTTTACAGTTTATCTCTATCTATAATAATATTCAAGATAATTACCAATAAAATGCTTCGCTGGGGCACAGCTTGATACGACCGCAGAGGTCGAAACCCTGAACAGTTGGGGCAAGTATGGACACAAAATTCAAGCTTGATACAGCTATGACTTTGGATTGTCATTAAATATTTGACACAGCATAGGTTTCTGACACAGGATGAATGTGGTGTAAGAACTGGAAAAAATTTAATTTACCTATTATGGTGGAATATCCATAAACTAAATTGTTTGTTAATTTCAATATATCAAAGAATATGTAGAATTCAATGTTTGATGTACATTTTTTGTAATGTAATAAAGTTGAAATTTGGACCGTTTTTGTTCAATGTGGACCAATTTGGTAACATGTATAAATAATCAAAAATCTAAATACATGGGAGCCCATTTAAATACATCATAAAGGTATTAAAATAGAAAGTGACATCATAGTCATGGCATAAAATAAACAAAAATCCTTAATCAGCAACATTTAAAGTAATATCTAAAAATAAAATTCCTTTGTAACCATAAAAGCCCATTTAAATACATCATAAAGATATTAAAATAGAAAATGACATCATAGTCATGGCTAAACATAGCAAAAAACCCTTAATCAGCATCATTTAACAGTAATATCCAAAATGGAAATTACATCATAAAGGTATTAAAATAGAAAATGACATCATAGTCATGGCTAAAAATAAACAAAATCCTTAATCAGCATCAGCAACATTTTATAGTAATATCTAAAAATAAAATTCCTTTGTAACCATAAAAGCCCATTTAAATACATCATAACAGATATTAAAATAGAAAATGACATCATAGTCATGGCTAAACATAGCAAAAACCTTAATCAGCATCATTTAACAGTAATATCTAAAAATAAAAATTTCTTTGCAACCATAAAAGTAAAATAGAAAATGACATCATAATCATAGCTAAAAATAAACAAAAATTTTTTTTATTGGCAAATTTTAAATGGAGTTTATTATACTAAAACAATAAATTTGCAACCATAAACATGATAAAACCCCATTTAAACACATCATAAAAGTATTAAATAATTCAACTACATCATAAGGCTATAAAAATAGAAAATGACTTCATAGTCAAGGCTAAAGGTAAACAAAAAACCTTCATCAGCAAAATTTTATATTGGCAAATTTCCAATGAAGTTTATTACACTAAAATTGTTGGCAAATTTCCAATGCATTTATTAACAATAAAGTTATTGGCAAATTTCCAATTTACATAATTTAAAAGCAGTGTAGATGAGATATTTAAATGAGTTTGAATTACCAACCTTACACTGCTTTTAAATAATGTTCTTTACTCAATTATTTGTCTATTAAAATGGAAACCCTTGTTTTTTAACCTTTTTTCCCCTTATTCCTTAAACATTAGAGCCATAACCACCCCCCCCCCCCCCCCAAAGCCAATTATTACTTTCCAATGTAACCTAAATTTCCAATATACATAATTTTAAATTTCAGTTCCTCATGATATATAACCGTATCATTATTATTTTCTTTCATATATAAATCTGAAACAACCATCTTTAAATGGAAAATTTTAAAGAAAAAAAAAGGAAAAAAAAAATTCCTACCCCCCACACATTTTTTCAACCCCCTTTTGATTCATCATCCCCCACCTCAATCACAACCTTCAATTTGTGGTATGGTACATTGCAATACAATTTCACAGAGATCCATACACTTGAACACAAGTTTTTGTTGCAAACTAAAAAATTCTTATTTTCGACCAATATTTGGCCCCTTATTCATAAATGTTTGAGCAATTAACCCCAAAACTCAATTCCTACTTTCTCTTCGTGATAAAAAATAACTAACTTAAAATGTAAATTTTAAACAAAAAAAAAAGGAAAAAAAAAAATTACCCCTTTTTAGACCCCCGCCCCCCTTTCCCCCCAAACCAAGCTCAATAACAGCCTTGCCTTTGTGGTATGGTACCTTGTAATACAATTTTAGAGAGATCCATACACTTGAACAAGTTATTGTCTAGAAACTAAAAAATGCTTATTTTAAACCCCTTTTTAGGCCCCTTATTACTAAACGTTTTGGGCAATTACCACAACACTCAATTCCAGCTTTCCCTTTGTGAAATGGAACCTTGTAGTAAAATTTCAGAAAGATCCATACACTTACACACAAGTTATTGTCATGAAACTAGAAAAATGCTTGTTTTTTGCCCCCTTTTGGCCCCTTATTCCTAAAATTTTGAGGCAATTAACCCCAAAATCAATCCCAGCATTGACCCTTTGTGATATGGAATCTTGTGGTACAATGTCAAAGAGATTCATATGCTAACACACAAGTTATGTCTGGAAGTTACAAAAATGCTTATTTTCGGCCCCTTTTTGGCCCCTACTTCCTTAACTGTTGGTACCATAACCCCTAAAATCAATCCCCACCTTCCTATTGTGGTATTGAACCTTATGGTAAAATTTCATAGAGATCCATTCACTTAAACTAAAGTTAGAGTGCGAAAACCATTGTGTATTCGGACGACGACGCCGGACGACGACGACGCCAACGTCATACCAATATACGACCTCAAAATTTTTTTGCGGTCGTATAAAAACTGCAAAATTTCCTTAAAATTACCAATTCAGGGGCAGCAACCCAACAACAGGTTGTCAGATTTGTCTGAAAATTTCAGGGCAGATAGATCTTGACCTGATAATCAGTTTTACCCTATGTCAGATTTACTCTAAATGCTTTGGTTTCAGAGATATAAGCCAAAATCTACATTTTACCCCTATGTTCTATTTTTAGCCATGACGGCCATCTTGGTTGGTTGGCCGGGTCACCGGACACATTTTTTAAACTAGATACCCAATAATGATTGTGGCCAAGTTTGGTTTAATTTGGCCAAGTAGTTTCAGAGGAGAAGATTTTTGTAAAAGTTAACGACGACGGACGACGACGACGGACTCCAAGTAGTGAGAAAAGCTCACTTGGCCCTTTGGGCCAGGTCTGCTAAAAAATCTACATTTCATGGACAATAACTCTAAAAGGGTTGTCAAATTTTGACAGTAAATAGATCTTGTCATGCTGATAATTTTTGCAGTTTTCACTTTGTAAACCCATATACCAAATATAGTTATCCTATTACTCATAATAAGTGAGAAATTCATATGACAAAAAATCTATAAATATATTTTTTTTAAGCAGTACCATGAAAATGAGGTCATGGACAATGTAAATATGACAGACAGAAACTTTGTAATTTAATGAATCTCTATACAAGGTATGAGGCATTCAAGTATTCTACACATTGAAATATAAAGCTTTAAATTAAAAGTTTAAGCTGCCCCCCACAGGAGTAAAATTCCTGTCTCGCATTTTGCGACTTTAGCTGCAGCTTGAAAGTTGTTTCTGAAAGTTATAAGGGTGAATAGATCACATATCAAGAGCAATTACACCAAGACAAGTCGACATATTTTTCTCCAAATTTCAGGGTAGATACATCTTGTTTAAGTTGTTATGGCGATCATTTTTGCAATTTACACTTTTAAACTAGCTCATATAGTTTTTGAAACAATGGCATGGAAATACGCAAAATGAAAAAAATATGTTTCAAAATTTGACTTCAGACATTATCTATAAGTATCAATCATAAAAAAATCTTCTGCCAAAGTTTCATTAAAATCTATGAAGGTAACTGGTTTGATAAAGTAATTAATATGTAACAAATTTTAACCCCAAACTGTATTTACTATTTGTTAACTGCAATAAATTAAATTCCTTATTTTCATTATTAAATATTTTGCTCTGGATACTGTCTTTTGATCATTAAAAACTTCTAGTTTAATATGAGTATGTCCAATTTACGTAAAATTCAATGAAGGTTTGACCAAGTTATTGATGACTGAAAAACTTTCACTTTAGGCTGAATTTAAATGTTGACTATAAAAAAGTCAATCTGTCAGTAAAATACAAACAACTGAAAATAAATATTTTCAAAATATTTTCAACCTGGACGAAAATCAGAAAACGTATAGTTGATATCTGATAGATGATGCAGATAAACTTTGGTTTAAATCCATTAATCAGTTTCACAGAAGATTTTTAAAGAAAAGTTTACAGAGAACAGACCAAAAGTGAGGTCAAATGCTCACTGTCACATGGCCCTTCCAGACAGTTGGGCTAAAAACTTAGCTTAGACTCATAAAATTATGTAACTGCTGATTTAGCTTTAGGTAAGACATACAAAATTGTGTAACTGGTAACTACTGGCTTAGGTTTAGCTAAGACTCATTAAATTATGCATTACTGATTTAGGGTAGACTTTAAAAATTATATAACTACATTTGTAGTGACAATACATGTAAATACAACATACAGATGAAAAACTAGTAAAAATGTCTCATTAGATCAAAAACTTTTTATTTTTTGGCTATTTTGATATATCATGAATAATCTTAATGACTTGGTGCATTATCAAAATCACCAGAAAACATCATACCATATGAACATTTGTTTATAAGTACCTGGGTAGTCTGATCCACCATAAAATGTGACGATAAAACTTCTGGAGTAGGCCATTTACCACTCAGATAAGAATTGTAGATAGCTTCCAGTGATCCAGCTCTTCTTAATGATGGACTCCCATTACTTCTCACTGCACGGGGTTTCTCTACTACAATCATATGAAAGTGGATAAAGAGTTTAAATCACAATTAATACTTTGAACAACTTACTCACAGGTGATCCGGCAAGCACCAACTTTTTATTATGGTCTGTGTTTTAGATATATTCAATAAAACTTCGTTATTATTTCAGACTGGAAAAAATAATGCCCAAACTATCATAGGTCTGGTATAACTAGAGTGCACACGCTGAAATGTCTCACCTGCTTATTCTTTAATCATAATTAAATAATTAATAACATGAATAATCATAAGGTCAAATAACCCCTGCCAAACATTCCATTCGCCATGTATAGTTGACCTATTGCTTAATGTACCCAATAAGCCGACAAAATCACAATAAAATGCTCCGCTGGGGCGCAGCTTGATACGACCGCAGAGGTCGAACCCTGAACAGTTGGGGCAAGTATGGACACAACATTCAAGCTTGATACAGCACTGAATTTGGATTGTAATTAAATATTTGACACAGCATAGGTTTCTGACACAGAATAAATGTGGTCTAAGAACTTAAAAAATTTTAATTTATCTATTCAAACCATATCATTATTATTTGCTTTTATATATAAATCAGATATAACCAATTTAAAATGGAAAATTTTAAAGAAAAAAAGGAAAAAAAAATCCCCCCCCCCCCCCCAATTTTTTGAACCCCCTTATGATTCATCACCCCCAAACTCAATCCCAGCCTTCCCTTTGTGGTATGGTACCTTGCAGTACACATACATGTGATGGACTGTGAAACTAAGATCAGGAGTTTTGGAGATTAGGACTCAGATCAGGATGTTTTTAATCGACATAAATTCTGTCGTAAATGTAACCGTGTGCTGTAGAAATTGTCTGTTAAAGTGTGTTTTCTTCAACTTTCCATCCGAATTATAGTACCTTTGTATTTATAAATTTTCTCTATCTTTTTAAACTTTCAACTTGTTCAATCTAACATTCTTCTTTTTCAGTATGTCCTTTACATTTTTTAGGTCATATCTTTTTCACCATGATTCATTGCAATCAGAACATTTGCTTATCAATCTGCAAGTAGATCTTTTATTGTTATCTTTATGCAAGTAGATTTTTAATCCATGATAAGTAACACATTCAAGCTACAATCATGGGTCATAGTTATTATATAAATTTCAATTTAAGCCTTGAAAGGAAGTATAGAACCCTCAAATAATTTTCAAATTATTATTTTTTGATTTGTCCTAAAACATTTAAAATCATTTAATTACCATCCTTTTATGATTATTTGTTTAATTTATATTTTATTTATATTCTTTTAAAAATTTACATTATTTAAAGGAAAGTAACTTAATACAGGATAAATCAAGGGAAGTAACCCAACATTCATTTTAAATAAACAAAGTTTTATTACACAACGGCAGTTAGCCTGAGGTAAAAATCGTTTATTACCAGTATGTTTGACACCCAAGGTGACAAGTGAGGCCATATAATTATGCATGTTAATTGATTTACAGGTAAAATATAACTTCAGTAATGTCAGTTACACCAGATATGTTGGGCTGAAATTTTTCATTCATGAAATATTTCATACACGGGATTTTTTTGTCTTCAACGGGAGGTCGGGAGGAGACCCCTGAAAACGGGATTATTGTACTCCCGTCGGGAGGTTCACATGTATGAACTGTACAATTTCAGAGAGATCCATACACTTGAAGACAAGTTATTGTCTGGAAACAAGAAAAATGCTTGTTTTTGGCCCCAAATTCCTAAACATTTAGGGCAATTACCCCCAAACTCAAACCCAGCTTTCCCTTTGTGATATGGAACCTTGCAGTACAATTTCATAAAGATCCATACACTTAAACACAAGATATTGTCCTGAAACTAGAAAAATGCTTGTTTTTTGCCCCTTTATGGCCCCTAATTCCTCAAATTTCTAGGGAATTACCCCCAAAATCAATCCCAGCCTTCCCTTTGTGGTTTGGTACCTTGCAGTACAACTTCAGAGAGATCCATACACTTGAACACAAGTTATTGTCTGGAAACTAGAAAAATGCTTATTTTTGGCCCCTTTTTCCTAAACGTTGTGGGCAATTACCCCCAAAATCAATTCCAGCTTTCCCTTTGTGATATGGAACCTTGTAGTACAATTTCATCAAGATCCATACACTTACACACAAGTTATTGTCAAGAAACTAGAAAAATGCATGTTTTTTGCCCCTTTTTTGCCCCTAATTCCTAAAATTTGGAGGCAATTACCCCCAAAATCAATCCCAGCATTCCCTTTATGATATGGAACCTTATGGTACAATGTCAGAGAGATCCATACACTTACACACAAGTTATTGTCATGAAACTAGAAACATGCTTGTTTTTTTTCCCTTTTTGGCCCCTAATTCCTAAAATTTGGAGGCAATTACCCCCAAAATCAATCCCAGCATTCCCTTGGTGATATGGAACCTTGTGGTACAATGTCAGAGAGATCCATACACTAACACACAAGTAATGTCTGGAAGTTACAAAAATGCTTATTTTTGGCCCCTTTTTGCTTAACTGTTGGTACCATAACCCCCAAAATCAACCCCCACCTTCCTTTTGTGGTATTGAAGCTTATGGTAAAATTTTATAGAGATCCATTCACTTAAACTAAAGTTAGAGTGCGAAAACCAATGTGTCTTCGGACGACGACGACGACGCCAACGTCATACCAATAAACGACCACAAAATTTTTTTGCGGTCGTATAAAAACTAATCATTGACCAATGAACCATGAAAATGAGGTCAAGGTCAGATGAATCCTGCCAGACAGACATGTACACCTTACAGTCATTTCATACATTAAATATGGTTGACCTACATTTGTAATCTGGCTACTGCTTATAGTATCTAATTAACTGACAAAACCATGAAAACTTTACATTGTCAGACCAATGATCCAAATTTAGTTGACCTATTGCGTAATGACATACCTGATAAACGACAAAACCATGAAAAATTAACATATACCAATGAACCATGAAAATGAGGTCAAGGTCATATGAAACTTGCCAGACAGACATGTACACTTGCAATCATTCAATATGCCAAATATAGTGACCCTATTGCTTATAGTACATGTATCTGAGAAATAGACAAAACCACAAAAACTAATTATTGTTCAATGAACCGTGAAATAAAGGTCATGGTCAAATGAAACCTGCCAGTCCGACATGTACATGTACACCTTACAATCATTTCTATACACCAAATATAGTTGACAGGTTGCTTTTAGTATCTGAGATATAGACTTGACCACCAAACTTTAAACTTGATCATTGATCCATGAAATGAGGTCACAGTATTATGTTCCCTGTCTGAAGGACATGTAGACTAAATGCAAGGAACCCATACATGTATTATATACCAAATATAATTCACATGACAAGAAAACTAATTTTTTTCAAGCAGACTGAACCATGAAAATGAGGCCAAGGACAATGGACATGCAATGTATGACAGATGGAAACTTCGTAACATACATGTATGGTATCTGCATACAAGGTACATGTATGAAGCATCCAGGTCTTCTAACTTCTGAAATATAAAGCTTCTAAATACAAATAAATAGTTTTCGTAATCCGTATGTCTTGCATTCTACAACTTTTGTCTGTATTTCTATTAAACGCATTATAAAAAATTGTAGCTCACCAAAATTGTTTGTTGGTTATTATTTCGGTAAATTGGAATGACCTACCATGTTCATTACATTTCATTTACATACCAAAACTGGGGAATAGGTAATCAAAAAGATGTGCAAAATATATTATTATTGATTAAATATAAATTAAAATACAATTAAAAAGAGACTGAAGATACAAAAAGTGTCAAATATTAACTTCTTTAATAGATGATGAAAAAACAGACTATTTTTATATTTTTTATTTTAATAATAGAGTTGTTGAAATCTAATTTGAGTTGGTCAGTACTTTTGGCTTAATCATCATTTTCTGTAGTTATGAGTAGTATAATAAACAGCTGCGCCATGAGCACATGATACGCCCATCGCTTTTTCAATAGATATAAACCAGTCACCAAAGTTTCATGAAAACTGCTTAAAGCATATTTGAGTAATTGTCCAAAAACTGGAAAATCCCCCTTTTTTAATGAATAAAACACCATAACTCGGAAGCGTAAAATCCAAAATTTATAAAAATCGAAAGGGAGCTCACGTCAATAGATATAAACAATTTACCAAAGTTTCATGCAAATTGGTTAAAGCGTTTTTGAGTTATTGTCCGACATGTTGACGACGGAGAGATAACAGTAAACCATAATACGTCTCATAAACGGCCGTATAAAAACTGCATATTATTTTGGACATTGTCAAAATTTGCCACTGAGGACTTATAAATTTCAACATTTCTGCTACATGTATATAATAAATCAAATTCATAATAGTGTCATAATTGATAAAAAAAATCATGAATCTCACTTACTTACCCTTACATTCGTAATAATTATTTGACCAATATTAAAAATATTGAATAGACACTAAGTAAAGATCCTGAATAATTTTGTACTTATTGATTTTGCATAATTATTTAATTCATAATTGTAAACAACAATGTAAAAAATACTTGAAATTTTGGGAAAAAATTGGCAAATTGCAAAAACAGTTTTTAGTCAGAAATTTTTCTTCATATGGTATTGTTTATACATCATGATGTACATGCAAGATTTCTGGGATGTTTAACTCTCCTACATGCGCGTAGCTCCCAATACGCCAACACGCAGTCGCGTACACTTCGGCATGGTGAACAAAATAAAAAGGGCCAAAAAAAATGAAGAAAATGTTTAAAGGAAACACATATATGTTGTCGCTTTTTTAATTGATGAAATGTCATTAAATAACGGTATTTGGTTTCAAAATGAAAGTTTTACTTAAATCATGACGTTTCTAGGTATGTATACCCACATAAGATGTCCGGCGTTGAACACGACATGACGTCCAAACGTAGCGAAAAAGGTGAAAAGGCTAAATGGAAAACTATTGACATTTTTTTACTAAACCCATTTCAACAGAAACGAAAGGTTCTTCAAAAAAACCCATTTCCCAACAATCCTTGCCAGAGTCTGAGAGAATAAATCACGATAGTGAAAAAGCAAATGCAAGCTCCATCTCAGTTTCGATCTCCAAAGCCAACACCGCTCCGTACCCAATTTGCAGATGACAGAAGTTAAGATGCAATTACTAACATCCAACTAAAAAGATGTAAATAATTTTGACTTCCCGACAAAGTATGTTGATTTTAATTCTTCCAAGTCACTCTAAGTGTGTAAAACGTTTCCCAAAATCATGGAATAGCATATGCCAGGGGTAACTCTTTGGATTTGAAGGGGTATGCGGAAATTAATTTAAAATTGTGTCCCATTCATTAGAAGATATGAAAATCCCTACCCCGAAAAACAGTCAATTTGGAAAAGTACACACGTCCTAAATTAAATTGTTAATAACAGACCCAAATTATTATTATACTAAAGATTGTGTAAATTAAAACGTTTGAACCCGAATTTATCGTAACCCAGTGCTGTATCCTTCTGTAGATACTATTTTGAGTATTATGTTGACAATGCACCCCGGTAACAAGTGCTACAGCGGAGAGATCGTTCAGTGTACTACGTCGGTTGAAAACATATGTACGATCAACTATGAATAACGATAGGTTATCATCGCAAGCATTAATGCATATTCATCAGGATTTCAATGTGAATATTGACAAAGTAATGGATAAGTTCGTTTCTGCTTATACCCGAAGAGCAGATTTTGGACAATTTTGAGTAAATTCATTTCATAAAAATGATTGACCCTATTCAACAGAATTCTGAATAGTTTTGCATTCATGAATTGTCTATAAGACCTATGTATCACCTCTTTTAACCCTCCTATGACCGAAAAGTGAAAAAAATATCAATTTCTACATAAAATGGTCGAAAAAATTAGGCGTGCACATCATTTTAGTCTAGCTACACCCCTGTCCTACATCAGAGTCTTGTGTCTCTGGCCATCTCCAGTATGGAAGAAAAATGCAGGTGTTCAGTGAGATCTGGATAAACAGACAGTTGGACAAACTCACAACTGTAGTGTTGACAGGCCAACAAGCACTGTAGATGAACTTCTAAGACCACTCGGCCACAACCAGGGCTTGTGAAATACCTGTTGACAGTGTTACTGTAAGGGACAACCTTTTGATATTCTGGGGAGGAGGATTTTTCAAATGCAATAAAAATAGCAATATTCATTTTCACCTTTTGTGAGTCTCACTTTTTTTATAGGTGTGGCTTTGCAACACAAAAATTTATTTTCAATTTATAATGTAAACATAAATTTACATTCTGCATTTTGTTAGGCAAAATATTCTTTCATTCTTTATTAGGCAAAGAATCTATTTTAAGTTTTAGTCCTTGTTTAGCCCCCCCCCCCCCCCCCCCCCCCCCCAGAATATCAAATGGTTATCCCCCAACTTACCCTGACACTGGTAAGAAGGGAGGAATGGGGTACCCCACATGAGGAATGACAATAAAATACTTGTTAAAATAACGTTATCAATAAATATTTTACTCCCTTTGACGCTTACGTTTGCTACAAAATTAGACTTGACAAATGACCACAAAAAATAAAGGCTTGTGTGACCCTAACGGTAGCGAAAAAGGGACGTTTGACAATAAAAGGGCATTCCTACCCTCCTCTGTATTGGTATTTTTTCATTTTAACTATATTAAACAGAAGACAGGTTTTATAAACTTTCTATGCTTCAAAAATAGTTTCTTCGATAATATTTGTTTCATGTATCAAAAATCTAAATAAAACAGTACAACTAGTAATTTGGCAAGGTGCCAGTTTTCAAGACGCTACAAAACCTCTGCCGGCTTAGAATTTCCTCACCTTTAAAACTTGGCGAAATAGGCGACTTTCGTTCTGGTGAATTCCGATGACCAATTGCAATCGGTGTTGGCGAACAAACCGGACTTTTTCTAGTAGGGCTGCCTTTCAACGTGAACGGCTTCACTGCTTTCATAGGTCTCATCATGGATGGCATCGCAGAGGGTGACAAATTTACCCGTCCTCTCTGAGAACCTTGTGATGACATTTCTCAATGAAATTCACGCTCAAATATTGTCAAATAAATTATCTTACAATAACTTAAAATGCACCTTTGCATTAATTGTCAAACAGTAGGAATTTTACATAATTTCACAAGCGTTCGGTTGTGTATTATCGGTGTCCTCAAGAATGTATGTCGTATCTCACGTGACTTGCTATTAGACATTTCATTGGATAATTACACCTGAGTGTTCCTGTTAAAACACAATTATTCCATAGTTCTTTGTATTAAAAGAAAACTCTTCTGTAGATTTTCATATCTTAGGTACATCAAAAAGAAGAAAACATTATCATTCGTTTCCTTAGGTGAAAAAACGATCTCATCAGTAGACAAAGGAAATTTGTATATACGGTTATCTACCCTTTCATGACAACCCTGATGTAAACATCCGGTCCACGTGTTGTAATGTCAAAACATTTCACTTGTTTGTCAAACTCCATATATTATATGTCCCAGGGGCAATATTTTTTTTCTGTTTGGTTTTCAAACGTCACAGTACCAGAATTGCACTGAGAACCCAATTTACATCCAAGCATGGAATATTGTCATTTTTTTAAATGTGAAGAAATAAACAAATCACCTGTTATTCTATTTTTACGGATAGGTATACTCCTCTCAGCATCTTGGATAGTTTGAAGGTCGGCCTTACACATTTATTTTTATGATTCAGTATGGATTCAAAATCAAATATGTGAAACTATTCAGATAATAAGGATTTCATCGACAAAAATAACACCGAATGCAAACTTGTCTCGATCTGTTACTTTAATAAACGCTGATTAAAAAACTGTCAAAATAGGTGCAATTTAGGTACCCTCACGTTAATATATTTTTGGCACTGGCTACGGTTACCCGCAAAAAGTAACAATAACAATAACAATAACAATAACAATAATAATAATAATGATAATGATAATGATAATGATAATGATAATGATAATGATAATGATAATGATAAGATAATGATAATGATATTGATATTGATATTAATAATGATGATAATAATGATTATATTTTATTTTAACAGAGCTTTTATAACTGACAAAGATATAAGACATACATATGTAGAACTCTAAACCACGATGGTACTCCGAACCGCGATGATCACGCTGAAGTGCGATGGTTTGACGCTGAAGAGCGTTTTTGGTCACGTCAATGAGTTCACAAGTCGATGTAGAAGTCAATTTGTTTGTAAGAAGCAGCTTTTCTGGTTTTTTTTAGCACATGGTCGAAAGTATGCAGCAAATTAATTAGGACGATCTCTGATTTAGTATGCAACTGTAATTAAGGACATACATAATATGAAATGCTTAATATTAAGAATGAATTTAAGCTTTTAATAAATTACCAACACAATCTTAAGAGAATGAAAGACTGAATATAATTCGTACATATTCATGACATGAATAAGTTAGACCCAAAATAAAACATATGCTTTATGATTAATCTGAAATATCAAATCGGTAGCACAACAGAGACTCACGGTGACTTGACATTTATTTTTTAATTTGTCATACTAGCTCTAAAGAGATTTTGTTGTTAGAATTTTGAAATATGAATGACCACTCAGAATAATAGAATATTGATATTATCCATAAAAATTAAATGTCAGCGAGCAGTGGCGGATCCAGAAATTTTCATAAAGGGGGGGGGGGGGGGGGGGCACTTACTGCCATAAGAGGGGGCCCGCTCAAGTGATTCCCTATATAATCAACAAATTTTTTCCCACGTAAGGGGGGGGGGGCGCCCCCCTAAATCCACCTCTGACGAGGACATCGGCAGAACTTTGAACAAACTGTATGTGTTGACCAATATGTAGATATATTTAAGTCGGTATTTACGTTTTCTTTCTTCACTAGACAACACATCAGCACATCAGAATAACACAAAAACACAGTTTGAATCACTGATAAAAGTTCAAATATAGAAAACAAATGCTATTTGACAATTTAAAGGAATTTGCAAAATATGATATAGTTTGAATAATTCACATCTCTATGATTGGAGAAAATAAAAAATACAAGAAACTGTGTAGACGAAACGGGCCTCTTGCAGACTAAACTATAATAAAAAATAAAAGAAGTGGTATAATAATACCAATACAACAATTTTCTACCAGAGATCGAATGACGTAGGAGTTAGCAACTATATAGGTCACAGTACGGCCTTCAACCAGATTTTTTTGTACAATAACCAAACATCATGACGATATATCAAACTCTAAATAGCCCTTAGTAAAGACAAAATGTAAGCAACTTTCAGGGAGTGGGGATGGGGGGGAGTTATACATATACTAATTACTCGTCCTTTCTACATCGATAAGTAAAATATTAATACGAGTTCCTGAGAAGTACCACGCTAGCTTTTCAAACAGTTGACGCATATACGATGGCCCTTTTCAACTTGAAAAAAATGTGACATAAACATCTTCTATGAAATATTCTGTTGCAGACTAGACGTTTAAACAAGCAACAATCAATCAAAACTAAAAACGACAACTTTCTTTATATAATATGCTCCTCTTTCTTATACGATCATAAAGGGGACAACACTATTTGCTATATAAAAAAAACTGATTTAGGTCTTGACATATTGTGTATATATATACCTAAAATTGTTGTCTTCTAGATGCATATTATTTTGTTAACTTGTTTGCTTGCTGTCTCATTGACCTATACCCTGTATCTCCTTTTATTCATAACAGTTCCTTATTGAAGATAGACTTATTAAATAAACCCCGTAACCTAACTCCCCAAAAAAACAAAACATAGTAAAGTGCCCGTGAGTTTATCATTTAGGTTAAACACGTAAAATGAAACAAATGCACATTGTTTCAAGAAACTAATTAGATGAACTAAATTTTATCTCTCATTCAAATTAGAAGAGGGCTCTAAAAATACAAACTTGAGATCTTTGAGTAGATGTTTAACCCAAGTGTTTCTTTTATTTGCTGTATTCGTTTTCTTTGCTATTCAATGATTATAAAATGTTTATTTTATTTCATTTTTCATCCCAACTTTATTTAGATTATAATGTTCGTTCCATTATAACTAAAAATAACTCGGGTACGTATTTTTTTTGCTATTTTGAAGACCCATTGGTGGCCGTGTGCTGTTTTCTGCTCTTTGGTCGGGTTGTTGTCTCTTTAACACATTCCCCGTTTCATTCTCTATTCTACAAACATATCATCGATACCGAAATGCCATAAATGTTTTATGTACATTAATGAATGAAAATTCATATACTGGCGTATAAACAAATCTACTTCTCATAATATTTGCAGATTTTAAACTAGCCACCACGATTCATAAAGACCATCACAAATCAGTGAAAGGACCATCACACGTATAAACGACGAAAACCATCGCTCTTCAGCGTAACCATCGCTCTTCGGCGTGACCATCGCGCTTCAGCGTAACCATCATGCCTCTGAGTCCTACACATATACAGTAGTAAATACACGCATAGCATACAACACCACGGAGGTCTCTTCCTATATAAAGATATGCACAGACGTGCCACTTTTTTGGAATGTCAAATGTCAAATACACCACGAAGGCAGTACATCAACGAGTAGACATTTATATGCCAATGGGTAATAAATCTTCATTTTCTGTTACGTTTAAAACACAAAACAAATATTTCATAGAAATACTCATCAATCATCCAGACTCATTTACAATATCACAATTGGAAATATAACCTTTACATGTTTTGCGCTTCTTGTGGTCTTGAAAAATCCAAGCAGACTAAACGTAATGATTTTTTTGTTTACTTATAGTGCATGTGATAGCTCCACACTTAAGTTAGTTTAAAAGCAGCAAATAAACACAATACATTCAAAATATTTCAGCAATTCCTGCTATTTTTAAAGGCTCAATGTCGGCAGCTGATCAACCTGACGCAACCCTGCATGAGAAATCTGTACGGTCACTGTCAGAACGGAGGTACGGACAGAAAGATTTGGATTATAAATCTCATTTTCAACATCATATTTATCTATCTATCGAGGACCGAATCATTTTTACAGGGAAATGGTAAGAATATCATTTTTATTGTCTTATATTTTTCGTTTACCAAATATACAAATTTGTGGGAAATTGTATGCTCTTTTATGGTGTAATCAGACATAAACTTCTTTTTATTTTATTTTTTTACTATTATTGAGGTTTTCGTCGTCATATCAACACATATCATAAATATCCGAACGATTACAGAGTAAATTGCGATTAGGCAAACACTGTGCATTGATCAAGTGTAAATTTAGAAGCGTGCGGTTTGTGAGCTAAAACAGTCCATTATCGAAACGTGACATTAGGGTTGATGATTGATTTTTGCTTGCTTAAACGTCCAGTGGCAAATTCAAGAAAATTAAGATAAATACAATAAGCAGATTTTGCAAATAAGCGGGAAATTTAGAAAATCACTCGACAACGAAGGTATTTTGGTAAAAAGTGCAGAATTTTACCTTCCAACCGACCAACTGCGGGCCAAGTCAGAGAGTTTTTGCAAAACCGTTCTTTAAGGTGCAAAAAGCTTGATATTCATCCTACATAAGATTTTGATGGTCCCCATTCCTAACTAACGTGTCTGCGTATTTATACATTCCGCACAGCTTACTGGCGTATGAGAGAACTACATGGATGACCATATTTCTATAGCCCATTCAGCCCTTGTGGTTCACATTCAGATTTGAACCGTTCCAAACTTACCTCAAAATAAATTTTGGTTATTTGTGTTGTTTTGTTGCTGTCTTATTTACGTATACCCTACCCACGACATCTCCTTTTATTCATAAAAATCGAAGTTTACTTCAATTTTATCGATATTTTAAAACTACCAACTTTTTACCAGTGACTGCCGGTCCACACGAAATTCGGGCTAAAGCGTACACATAGCAGTATGATCTTCTACTCTTAAACTTTTAAACAGGAGCCACACAATATTATAATTTCCAGATGTTGAGTGGATGACTTTCATTGTGTTTGTGCTATTAGCTGATTTTGTTTTCATTTAGCCTATTTTTTTTGGGACTGCTCTCTGCTATGGTCAGTTGTGATCCTGTGAGAATATAATGGGCAATATAATAAAGAATAGAGAAAAATCGCCAACAAAAAAACGTGAAAGAACAAAGAGTAACGGGCAGCTGAAATATAGATTATTTGTGAACAACGGAAAAAAAAAGAAAGATGTAAGGAAAAAAATGGCCTATGGGTTTTTCTCATTGTTGAAGGCCGTACAGTGGCCTATAATTACGTTGGTGGATAGTTGTCTCATTGGCAATCATACCACATCTTATTCAGTATTTTTATACAAAACATAAAAAAAATAATAAATAAAGACCCCTACACCAATCCCCACCCCAATCCACATCATCACACAGATTTCAACAGAAATACAATTTGACAAAATGCCGTGCATATGCAAATCATGAATTTGAAAAATGACAGTAAAAGAATGCATGAAAATCAAAAGCATGCGAAAAGAACAATGCGTGTATTTCAGACAAGACATATAAGATATACGGAAGCCCATTTAGGACCTCCCAAAAGTATATATTTACTATTTTCATATTACCGACTTTTGACTCCGGATTATATAATTTGTCGACTGGTTACTTTGGACATCATGGTACCAAGTCAGGTAAGAGCAACCTTAAGAAGTAAAACCAAGCGTTCAATCGGTACAATTTTGGGGGAAAATTACCTGCTTAACATTTTTTTTCACTACAAAATCATCGGAAAACAGTAAACTTTCCCCTCAAATTACACCGATTATATGTTTGATTTTACTTATTTTGGTTGCTCCTACTTGACCGAGTACCATGATGTCCAAGGTAACCAGTCGACAAATTATATAATCCGGAGTCAAAAGTCGGTAATAGCACGAATTGAAGAATCGAGAGTTGTCTTATCTTGCGAACTGGACACCCGATGAGTCAATGAGATTAGAAACCCAGTTCAAAAGAATTATTTCTTAATCATTGAGTTATCTCCTTCAAAAGTGTCCACAATTCTTGTACATTATTAAATTAATGATAACGAATTTCCAGAATTAGTTATAACAGTTTTCGTAATTCGTAATAAAGAATACAAGAGGCTGTCAGAGTGACAGCAAACCGTATTTTTCCTGCAGAGGTCAAACACTGCACAGTTGAGCAAGTATGACCACAACATTTAAGCTTATAACAGCTCTGAATTTGGATTGTGATCGAATATTTGACACAGCATAGGTTTGTGACCCAAAATGAATGTGGTCAAAGAACTGAAAAATTTGAAATTAGACATTTACATTTTATGGTTCAATATTCAAAATCTAAGTATATTGTAAGAATTAACATATCAAAGAACCCCAAGAATTAAATTTTGTATGAAATACTCATTTCTGTTTAAAGGGAAATAACTCAAAATTCATATAATAACTCAAATTCATATAATCAATAATCATAATAAACAACCAGTGATGACTAAATACTCTAAAATTAGATATGATGCAATCACTATAATATTGTTAGAATCAGCATATCAAAGAACCCCAATTTTTTGATGAAATTAAACAAAAGTTTAATTTAGGACCCTTTGGACCTCAATGTGATATTATCTAATTAATAATGAAAATAAATACAGGTTTAGATTCAGCATTTCAAAGAACCCTATATATTTTCAATTTATGTTGAAATCAAACACAGTTTAATTGTGGGCCCCATTTGGACCAATTTGAAAACTGGGTTCCAAAATCAAAAATCTAAATATATGTTTATTAATAGACAATATAAGCTTTTACTTTTTAAAGGAGTTTACTTCAACAAAAACTATATAAAGCATTCTGAAAATTAGTTTTTACAGAATAACAAACAAACCTACCACAAAATTCTTCAAACAATTTATCAAAGAAAAGAAAAAATATATATAGCATTCAGAAAATTAGTTTTTACATAATAACAAACAAACCTACCACAACATTCTTCAAACAATTTACCAAAGAAAAGTAAAAAAAAATCAAAATTTTATTTTTCATTAATACAATGTCTTTTTTAAATCTATAAAACTTATCTGTAATTATCTTCAAAATGTCTAATAATGAACAGTAAATTTCTAACTTTATTTATACAGTCCTATATAGCTTATAATCATCAACACTTAGAAAACAGAAAATTTTCAAATAAATCTGTCAATCCAATTATAATTGTGTGAGACATTTACCAGATGCTCTTATCTATTAACAGGTGAAAATTAGTCATGTTAGTGTAATCAAACTTTAAATATATAATTAACCATTTCTGTTCAAAGAGAAATAACTCAATCACATTAAAAATACCTCTTTTGGATATTAAAAAGGGCAATAACTCAACAAGGAGAAAAGCTAAAATCGTGAAAATTGCACTTGACCTTCATTTAGTCACAGGTAACAACATATCTAAATTTGAAAACAAAATTTGTCCAAGCGTTTTCATGTTATTGAGGAGACACTGTTTGGTAGCCACCCGTCCGCCCGCCCGCCCGACGCCGTACATCCCCAAATCAATAACCGATATTTCCTTCGAAAATCCGGTTAAAAATGCGTTATCACAATTATTTTGTAATTTGTGACAACGAATTGAAATCGTAATAACGAATTTTATAAATCGTGATTGAATTCTATAAATCGTTATGATGGTTTAAATTCGTTATCACGATTACAAAATTCTATGATTTCGAATTTAATCAGTTATCACGAATTTCCAAAAAAAAGCTGTGAAAACAAATTACACACATTTGTGGAAACGAATTATACGAACATCACGTTTTTAATATGTTATCACGAATTACAAAAAGATGTGATAACGAATTTAATCCGTTATTTCGAATAACAAAAACTGTTATAACTAATTCAATAAATTCGTGATAACGATTTTAATTTGGGAGGTCCTAAATGGGCTTCCATAAAGATAAAATATATGTATGATAAGAAATTTTTATTCCAATTCGATTACTATAAGAGCCCATAATGAGGAAAGGTATTTATAATAATAATTTTTATGATTGAGAGATACTATCATATATAAATATATAACACATACTCGGCGGAGTCGCTATTAATAGAATTTTGGAATTACTGAATCTTCATAACCATTAAAAATAGTCTGGAAACCCAAATGTATATTTATAGTTTCAAACCTGTTGCCATCTTACGTCATACATAATTATAAGTGAAAACGAAAGTCATAATGTCGGAAGATACCAAGAAAATATTACAGAAATTTTATGTAACCCTTCGTAACAATGTTAATGCTACTGCAATTTATCGCGAGGTTTGGGGTCTCACACAATTCGACAGAGAGTTAATTACCGCACAAAGGACCAACACCGAAGCTGTTGATAAGTTGGTGGATATCGTTGGAAGCAGAAGCACTCGAAGTTTTGTCAGTTTTGTTGATGCACTTAAGAAGCATGACCATACTGAGATTGCCGATGCCATCTTAGTAGAAGCGAAACAGAACTATCCACAGATTCACCGTGTTCTCGTCACGCCTACAGCGACAGTGCCACCTTCCAGTAATACGCAATCTAACCCGACAACGAAATGTGTAGATAACCAAGCCTATAATAACTCACAGGTCAGTAGCTTTCTTAAAATGTTATGAAGATTTATGTGTTTCAGTCTGTCACAGACAAACAATTATATTGTCTTCTTACAATTTGCTTTCTCTTCCATGCAGAGCACCTGAAATTACCCCCGGGTTTCTGTGGGGTTTGTGTGGCTCAGTTTTTAGTTTTTTATGTTGTGTTGTTTAACTTTTGTGTACCGTTGTTTGTCCTTTCGTCGTTTAGCCTTTTTTTTGCCATGGCAGTGTCAGTTCGTTTTCGACTTATGAGTTTGAATATCCTTTTGGTATCTTTCGCGTCTCTTTAACGTTGAGAAGCAATCATTTGCAGTAACTTTTTACTGGAATTTGGTGAAGTATATTAAGCTAAAAAATCTGATTTTTAATTAGTGTCTATTTAAACCGATAAAAAATCAACTTCAAGTCTGCATGTCCCTGAAGTGATCTGACTTATCCAATTTTCCGATATAGGAAAAAAGTATCCGGTAAGGGGAAAACCTTAGCCCCACCCTCACAAGTTACATTATTACTTCTATATGAAATATTACTCGATCGGTAATTTTGTTTTGACTTGAAGGGTTCTTCTAAGCAGTATTAGGTGCAACATCTTATTGGTTATATATTTCATACAAAACATACTTAAAATGTTTTTCTCTCAGTCTTGTTCGTACTTACAAGCATGTTTCCTGATAACGTTTGATCCTGCGCCATTAGTAAACATTTTTTCGTCGTTTTTATTGCAAGGTACTCTCTGACATACGGAATACCTAACAAATCTGCAAATAAAAACAAGGAGATGTGGTATGATTGCCAATGAGACAACTATCCACCAAAGTTCAAATGAAATGGATGTAAGCAATAATAGGCAACCGTACTGCCTGAGAAAAACCCATACCGTATAGTCGGCTATAAAAGGCCCCGACATGAAAAATATGAAACAATTCAATTGAGAAAACTAAAGGCTTAATTTATATCAAAACAATTTACGAAAAAAAAATATGACAGACATGAACCAACTACAACCACCACTGAACTACAGGCTCCTGACTTGGGATAGGCACATAAAGAATGTGGCTAGGTTAAACATGTTTGTGAGTGCTCAACCATCCCCCTAACCTGGAACAGTGGTGTAACATCACAGCATAAGAAAATCAGTTGAATAAGGCTCAAATCATCAGATCGATACAAACAAAAACACAGACAGGACGTGGCAGGGTATATATCCATCCCTCATCCCTAACAACAACAAAAAGACACTAAGTACAGATCTGAGAGTACTCGCAGTTACTGACAGCTAGATCAAAGCCAATAACAACTAATAAAAAAAAATCATGTATCTAAGACTAAAATATCAATCGGTACACATCCAACATCCAATGGATTTAGTGTAAAGAAGTCATTAACAGTTAGAGAAAAACATGACCTTGTGCAATGCCAAAATATAGGTATCGACAGATTGTAGTACCGTGAAAGTACATATGTGTGATATTTAGTATGGTTTTGATTTATTGATAACAAAATCAATATTTATACCAATAAAAACAATATTCAAAGATTTAATTACAGTGTTGAATAGGTAACCTTTTAGAATAAGTGTTGAATAGGTAACCTTTTAGAATAAGTTTATTTAAAGGATTGATAAGTTTACCCGGATCGTATCTAAATTTCCGGGCTCGGTTAACATCACTGTAAAATTTAAGATGTGCTATTCCGTTTGAAATCAGTTTTCTACAGGTACAGCGAAACTTGCAGATCAAATCTATGTATCTATGGAAGAATTTAGTAAAGGTTTTAAATAATTTGCGGTAACGAAATCCCTGACTTAATACTTATCTAGTAATACATAGATTACGCTCATTGAAATCCAAAACGTCACCACAGACTCGAGCATGCGAACGAGTTGGGATATATATAAACACCGTAAGACGGTGCCAAAGAAACATCACCGTCCTAAAAGAGGAACATTAAGAATAGGGAAAGAAAAATCATCCCTTTTGTCGTAAATTTTTGTGTAGAATTTCTGGTGTAATACTGAAATATCTAAATCTAGGAAAGGACAGTTATTGATGTTAATGTTTGATTTATTTAAAGTAAGTTCCTCTGGGTAAATTTCAGCAGTTTATTTAGAGAATTCTTGATTATTTAACGAAAAAATATCATCAAGATAACGGTAAGTGTTGGTGAATTTAACAATTAAATGGAATTTAGACCGTTCTTTACTGAGTTTGGCCATACACTGTGAATCATAACAGTATAGGAACACGTCTGCTATTAAAGGGCACAATTGGTTTCCATAGGAATACCTACAACCTGTCGATAAACTTTATTGCCGAAACGTACATAAATGTTGTCAAGGAGAAAATTTAGGGCTTTAATCATCTCATCACACCTCCAGTAAGCATATCTAGCATATTTACCTTTCTCATTAGAGAAAAAGGCTTTATATGAGTTGCAGCAAATAAATTTGCAATCGGATTTATCAAACAACCATTTCATAAGATAGGAAAACTTTTGTTTGATAAGATTGTGTGGAAGTGAAGTATAAAGAGTGGAAAAGTCAAAACTGTCAACCGAATCAAAAGGACCACCCAAATCACGTAATTTATCTAAAACATCCAAAGATTTTTTTACATTCCAAAATGGTTAATTCCACTATTTTCAAATGTTTTATTACAAAAATTAATGATAAGTTCTTTAATAGTAGTTAAGGAACTCATTAAAAGCACCGAAAAATGAATAGTAGAACACTTACTAGAGGCCGAGATGAAACGAAATTTTACGTTTTTTTTTGTGTAGTTTAGGTAACCAATACATAGTGGGGACCTTCAAATGTCCAGAGGAGGCCTTAAGCTGAGCTGTTGTAGTGACATGATTATTTACTATATAACTCTCTGTGGAGCGTATGGCCTTGAATGTAGATGAATGTATAATTTCCTTCTTAAGGACTTCCGTGTAGTATTTACGTCATACCAACACCACATTGTTGGCTGCTTTGTCGGCCGGTACGAACACAAAACGCTTTGCGAGTACTTGAATTTTGTTTTTAATCCTAGAAATGGGCGTATTACTTACTCTTTTATTTATTTCTAAAATATTTTCGAAATGTGATATGCGAATATCAACAATATTCAGACATCTATCTAAATAGAAATCAAGTGACTTTTCGTCAGATTTCTTCCGTTTACACAAATTTTAACCGGATTTTCGAAGGAAATATCGGTTATTGATTTGGGGATGTACGGCGGGCGGGCGGGCGGGCGGGCGGCCGGACGGGCGGCTGCCAAACAGTGTCTCTTCAATAACATGAAAACGCTGTGATTATTTTTTTTTTAAATTTAGATATGTTGTTTCTTGTGACTAAGTGAAGGTCTAGGTCAATTTTCACTATTTTAGTATTTATCCTTTTTTAGTTATCGCCATTTTAATATCCAAAAGTGGTATTTTTAAATATTTTTCTCTTGTTATCATATTATGACTAAGCATAGTAAATGTCTTATCTCAAAATTAGAATTGGAGTGACAGATTTATTTGAAAATTTTCCATTTCCTAAGTGGTGATGATTATAAGCTATATTATTAGACATTTTGAAGTTAATTACATTATTAATTATTATATATGTAATGTTAGAGTACTATGTTAAGGCGAAGTGTACGTAATTAACTACTCCACAGAATTTTTTTAAATTTTACATGTGGATTCTGCTTGTAAAAATACATCACACAATAAAATAAAAAAAGGGGGTAACCGTTTTCGTTTTTCAGATACAAGCTGTTGAAATTAACAGCATGATAAGCCAAAAATACAAAGGATATATAGGGAAAATCATAAAAATCGGCAGATATTTTTACTTTATCAAGATTTTCTAATTCGTTGCTCCACAGAATTTTTTTAAAAATCGATATGCGATTCAAAAATGAACGACGAACCCATTGGTGCAAAGAAAGTCCTTAGCAACCGTGCTAGTTTTCAAGCTATATCCTGTGGAAGTTTGATTTCTAGCGGAAAGAATAAAAACAATCGGCGACGTTATTGATGTCTACTGTAACGTCATCACAATTTCTACTCTATAACGCTATTATACCGTAGAGTGTCGTAACAAAATCGTGAGTGTGTATAACCCATTTTCCTAATTATTGCAAATGCTCAAGCGTTAATTTCTGTGTCATTTGGACTCTTGTGGAGAGTTGTCTTATTGGCAATCATGCCACATGTTCTTTTTTTATATTGTAATGTTCTAATAATTATGAATCAAATATCAAGTTTAAAATTGTCCCAGTAAACACAGCGTTGACAGAATGATTCTATACGTATTTTAATAATCGGTTATAATATTGGAATCGCGTATACACGTCTTTTTTAAAATCTTATTTCTGCATGTTTGTATTTTAAAAAAGTGAATATAATTTGCTGCATCTTTTCATCCTCACCACTTCCGGCGCTATTCGAGGGATTGCGCACAAAGCCCATTTTTTGTCAGGTTCACACGCGTGCACGTGACACAACTCTGCAATTTTATTTAAAAAATTTCCTGTCTCGATCGCTTTCCCTTTTCTTTAACTACACGACAAAGCATGATTTAATGTTTGCTGGAGATTTTAAGTAAAAAAGGAAATAATTTTTTGTTCCATAATTTGTTTAATATCCACATGCACGACTCCCGAAAAATAAGAAAACTGCATCTGCATATTATCTTGAGAATTTTTATGACTGTAATAAGGTCAAAAGAAGAACCCGAATTTTAGCAAAGTAAAACAGATCGGAGTTTTAACTTCACGTAGCACAGATCATTCCCAGTGTTAGCCTTAGCATTGCGTATATTGTGTATAATGCTATAGCATTGTGTATTGTGTAATGCTAAAGCTTTGTGCATAGTGATATGCTATAAATTAATGTACTGGTGTAATGCTATAAGAATGTACCAAGAGCGATGCTATACGAGTTTACCTAGTATAGTGCCATACTAATTGTTCCTGTATATAATGCAAATGAATTGCAGTTTTGTTAATATAATA